CCGTGGCCATCAGTGCCACGAGGCCCAGACGTGGGACAGATGGAGCCAGGAGGTGGGTGGGCGTTGAGCGAGCCAGACGTGAGGAGCTGGGAGGATGGGCGCGGGAGTTTTCCCTTCACCTTATGCCTAGGCGAGAGAGCGTCTCTTGCTCCAATTTCTATTATTGAAACTGTAATTAACGTTTTGGGTATCTGGCACCGAAGTGTCCTGAAGGAATCCCAAGATGCATTGCAGTCTTGTGATCCCGCAGAAACTGTTGGCCATCACTTCAGAGATCTTTTAGTCCTCAGCATTGTGTAAGCTTGTGAAGTTCACAGTGTCAAAAGTAAGAGTTCCTCCCGTAATGTGTATAGGAAACTACATTGATTTGTTTTCCCTTTTTCTTAAGTGGGACTTCTCGCCTTAATGACACGTTTAGAATTTTAAATGTTTCAAAATCGGATACCTTATTCAGGCTGCTTGGTATTGTAAGTCACTCTTTATGTTCACGTGTCAGTAATTAGTCTGTTTAGATACTTGGTAGTATAACTTAATAGTTGTCACGTGCTGTTCTGACCGTAGATTTTGTAAGTCACTCTTTATGTTCACGTGTCAGTAATTAGTCTGTTCAGATACTTGATAGTATAACTTAATAGTTGTCACGTGCTGTTCTGACCGTACCTAGTAGACTGTTTTGTGTGGTTTCAAGTCAGGTTTGGTCTTTAAAAAGCTTTCTGTATTTAGGGGCTGCTTAAGTGATAGGATGACATACATGCTTTCAGGTACTGATCTTGTGGGAATGTCAGATGAGTGAAGTTAACTATTCTCACCTGTACAAAAAAGTGCTTATTTTACGAACTGTCAATATTGGCTTAAAGAGAAAAAGGAATGTACCTTGGTGAGCCAGGGTATTGGTGAACCGGATCACAGATGTTCCTAGCAATTTGTGAGAATAGATTGTTGATTTCTCTTTGAAGTTCCATGTTGTATTTCCTAGATAAATGGACATCATAAAAGTCTCTGGGAGTTTAGCTTCTTCAGAAACTTGCTACAGTTTCTGTATTAGAGGCAGAGAGCTTGGAGAAGTACTTCTGTGAAGTAAGTACATATATGAGCACACTTTGAATTTGGTTGTTTGATTTTCTTGATGTTTTGCCTTTGAGCAAGGAAACTTAGTTTTTATTTCTTTGCTTAGATCAAGCAGTTTGGCCTACTTAAATAAAATTCACTTACCAGCCCCTAAAAGTGCCCGGTTCCCCATACCTTATCATACAGATTCCTTTTATCCAGCCATTTTCTTGTTTCTCTTTTGGCTGTCCCTCCTCACTCTGGAGCCACCAGCAGCACTCTGGCTAGACTTGGAACTCCATTTCCAGCTTGTCCACCCATCAGCCATCCTCAGAGCAGTGATCTGGAGTAGGCATTGTTGGGTGCCAAGGCTTTACCTCTTAGGTAGGTGAGCTGTCTTTCCTCTTACTGGCATGTACCAACTTGCTGGTTTATTCTTAATCCTTTTCTCTGTGACACTGTTAGAAGTGGAGATGTAAAAATATGTAAGGAAGCGGTTATAAGAAAAGTACTTTCTTTGTTACTTGGTGGTCAGTTTTTTTCAGTTTTATCAAACTGTTTGGTGTTACTTTGTCAACTGCTTCTACAAAATGCCAGTTCATATTTTAAAAAGTGTCCTCTTTAGGGTTGTCTGTTTGGAAAAGAATGGTTTCTAAATTGGGGTCCAGAGAGATGTGGGACTGTTGGATTGCATGTTTGAGCCCATACAGGTCCATAAAGTACCACCATCATAGCAGAGAACTGTGCTTGGAAGAAGCAGAGAAAAAAATTGGAATTAGCCATTAGAAATTTACAAAGGGGGAGCCATAAAAATTGCAAGTTTTTTTATAGTGAGGAAATAAACACAAGGGGAGCATGTTTTCTTTAGTGGTTAAGCCCTTGGTGAAATTTGTGGTGGGTCCCTGTTTTTAAACTAGATAGGAGGAAGAGCTCTTGAAGGAGGAAGTCTAGAGGTAGAATGCTGAATGACTTCTAAGTGTTCCTGTCCAGGATGAAAATCTGTTATTTCTCCTGAAAACAGGCTAGTTGGGTTTTCTGGTGGTTCCTTGAGCAGCCAGTTGCCATAAAGTTTTTGCACAATGTCATCCACCTTAAGTAGAAGGCTGCTGGGTGGTTATGCCTGTTTCCAGCCTCCCAAGTAAAAACTTGGGATTCAGCGTTGATCTTAGCTCTCTGAAAAAGTAATACAGGTTTCCAACGGAATGATTAGAATACAAATTAAGTGTAACCAAGTGTAATTCATTTAAGTTCAATTCTCTACAGATCCAAGTAAACTGACTACGTGATGATCTTTGAAGTAGAGGTCCTGAAATGAATGAAAATGTGGAAGACGGGTTGTGTGTAAGAGAACATTTTCTGTGCTAGAATGTACTTATTTTGAGTTTCAATTTGCACACAGTTCATTCTTTTTTATTGTTGAATGAGAAGTAAGTTTAGCGATTTAATTCAGGATTACTTGGTGTCTTAGTCCATTTGGGCTGCTGTGTAGTACCACAGACTAGGTAGCCTGTAAACAACAAAATTTATCCCTCACAGCTCAGGAGGCTGGAAGACCACGATCAGGGTGCCAGCCTGGTCTGATGAGGGCCTTCTTTCCTCTCTCAGATCAGATTGCTGACTTCTCGTTCTCACATGGCGGAAGGGGCAAGGGAGCTCCCAGGGTCCTCTTTTATAAAGGAGCTGTTTTGTAGAATGCATTCGTGAAGGCTCTGCTGTTATGATTTAACGGCCTCCAAAAAACCCCACCTAAGTCCAATACCGTGGGGCATTATAATTTCAACATATGAATTTTGATGGGGAACACAAAAATTTCAGACCATAGCACTTGGACTTGTAGGACATCCAGGCTTCTCTAGTAATGATGTGGTGTCCTTTCCACCATCCCACCCTTAACATCTCTCAGAACTCTGCCAGTAAAAAATGAATATAGAATAAAACCAATAGTCCTCAGAGGAGGAACTATCTCCAAAACATAGCACATTGTATTATGGAACCTGAATTTTAAAGAGAAATGTTCTGTTTCATAGTACTTGGTTTTTGATGGATGTCTTTTTATGGGGAAGGATTTTTTTCTTTTTTTAGTGACAGAGATATAATTCAATTATAACAGAATTCACTGTTAAGTGTATGGTTCAGTGGTTTTTAGTATATTCACAAAGTTAATGCAACCGTCACTAGTACGTGGTGGATGCTTGTTAATCACTGAGTAGTCTCAAAAGTGACTTCTTCAGGCTCACCAGAGCAGAGTACAGAATCTTACATAGTTGTTTTGTTCAGAAGGGCTCTTAGACTTTATTATGATGTTAAGTGATAACTGTTGACTAAGAGATAAGTTTAGATAGAAGATAGATGAGGTTCCTGACTGGATTTTTCTTTTCCCATGAGAGTGAAATCCCTGCAGTAACAAAGTCTTCAGTGGGGACAGTAAGTAAAGTAGGCAGAGGAGGTGAGGGGAAAATATTGTTCCAGGAGTGTTATTTCTTTTCCTCTCTCGTTTTCTAGCTAGTTATTTCCTCCCTTGACTTAACCAATTATTAGATTTGGGCTCTTATTTCATGATTTTACATGCTTGAAATGGCTCTAGCGTGAGGATTTAGGGAGTAAGTGAAGGCATTACATGAACCAGTGCTTTCCTTGTTGAGCAGCTGTTTGAACTGGTAAGAAATTTTTATTGAGAATAGACCCTCTTTGGAGCAGCTTTTATTTACTGCAGGTTTGGTACATGGCTTTCTTCTGTCCCTTGTTTTTCACCTCCTCTGGAATTGTACTGCAAGAAAAGATAGCGATTAAAATTTCTCAGGGCGAGTTAGGGAAGTACGGTAGATGACAAATTTTAAGCCTTGTTTTGTTTTTGTTTGCTGGGGAGGAAATGTCTTAAAGTGTTAAAATATTACTGTTTTTCTAATCAAAGAGAAAGGAATGAAAAGGATTCGATAGTCTTTTGTAGTGAGTTAACAGTATTAGAATGGAAGTTTTTGAGATGTAAGTCTGGTTTCTGCTCAGAATGATGTATAGCAATTAATGAACAAACATTTGCATGTTTACAGAACGCAGGATACTCAGCTGGGCACTTGAAGTGACACCACAAGGTGAATTAATCATGGTCCTGGAGTCTAGAAAGAGGTGAGACCCCCTATTTACTTTAATGGAAGACAAATGGTTGAGAGGGTTTCAAAGCTGAACAGAGGAGTTGTTCATAGGTGCCCTTGTGTAAATCATTTCAATCTTATCCTAATCATAAACCTAGAGATACATTTTCTGGTACCTGTTCTTTGTTAATACCATAAGTGTTTTTTAAGTTGAGATATAATCCACATATAAAAGTCACCTTTCTTGTGTTTCAATATTTTATTTCAGCCTGTTAGGAATTTGCTACAGTAGAGCATCAGTTACCTTTTTATGCAGCTTGGTGCTCATACCTAATAACAGTGAGTTACTGCCGTTATGGCTGGTGTATCGGGCATGTTAATTTAGAACTTCATCATTATATTCACAGTTGTTAAATTATTGGGAAGCAAGAATATGGCCACTAGTTGAAAATTCTTGATTATTCTGACGTCCTTAGGCTCCTTTTTAAGCTGTCATTTGTTGATTCGTACCAAAGCTTATTAAAAGTGGTGTCCTTGTTTTCAGTAGATTTTAACAAAGCAGGCTAGGGTGTAGGTGTATTTTTTTCCTAAGTGACTTTGTTTTAGGAAATCCAGTTGTCACAGTACTCCAAGTTGAACCAGTTCCCCATCATAATTCTGCTTTCTAGGTGAGAGAAACAGTAAGGATTTTTTTAGCATCTTTCACCAGCCTAACCTAAGAGTGGTTACACCCAATCCAAACCACATTCCAACCAGGTAATTGTAAGCCACTCACCTTGAACCAAGCAGAAAGTGCGTGCCTTAGAATGTTTTTGGGGCAATTTCTGGATTGACCATTTCTGTAGAACCACAGAGGGCCACCGTCCTACTCAGTGGTGTGTCCAGCTCCTTTGGATGGTTGGTTTTGGTTGCAGGTAAGTGTATTTCCGTTCCCTTTGAACCTTAATGGGGCTGTCTGCAAGGTATTTTTAAGTTCACCTACAATTTTTTGAAGTAAATGGGATATAAATTATAAATAAACCTGTTTTAGGGTTGTTAAAAAACATACTGGATCTTAGTTACTCTACAGAAAGCCCACTCAGGTGGATGTGTGTCATTGCTTTTAGTGAATGAATAGTTCATAGAATGTTAGGGCTGGAAGTGACCCTGGCAGGAGTACAGTCTTGTCAGATAAAGAAACTGAAGCCTATAGTTACTCAGTGACTCCGATTCAGTGACGGTGGAGTCTGGAATCTGTGTTTGCCAACTGCTAGCTTAGTGCCCTTTCCATTACACCGCGCTGTTGACTGGGGAGAAGGGCATCCCTGGGGCTAACATGTTGACCACCAACCAGCATGGATTTCCTGAGAGAGGCCCTAGAATTTGCCTTTCTTCTGTTTATTCTTCAAAAGTTTTGTTAATATGGGGCTTTGAAAAGCTTGTAATAATAAACTTATTGAGCAGTTACTTGCTTCATATGCTTTTATCTTCACAACAGTCTCGAGGTTATGTTGACTCATTTTATAGATAAGAAAATTAAGGCTCAGAAAAGCTAAATAAATGAGGTGACATCTCTGAGTAAGTGGAGGAGCCAGGGTTAGACTCTGCATCTCATGTCAGAGCTTATTCTAGTAATAATAACTCAGCTAGTCCTGTCCCTGTAATTTGCTATTAAAAGGTCTTTTTGGCTGAGATACTTTTTCAGAAACTGAGTCTATGAGATTGTGGCCTATGGCACCGCCTCCCTGTTCTGTCTCAGTAGTAGCAGGGTGACATTGTGATAAGTAGGCAATGCTCTACTTTGAAATTACTTCTTCCTACATTTTAGGAAATAATGTGAGATCATTTGAAACAGCTCTGTTCACCGCTATAGCATTGTACCTTTTTATTTTGAGAGCATAGGTAGTTAAGGCAAAACCATGGACATTTCATGTGTTGTGTGGGCATTTGGCTGTGATGTCTGCCTTTACTGGTTCTCAGTATTGTCTGTGGGAGAGAAATACCTCAGGCAGGCGGATTTGGTTGGGAGTGTATGGTCATCTGGCTGCTAGAGAATTTTTAGTTCCTTACGCAAATTGTACTTGAGCATCTCTTCAGTATTGTTTCTCTAACCCCTTCTTGGAAAACTGACACATACAAAGTTGTTTTTAGTCTATTGAACCCTGAAGGAAATGCAGTAAATATATAGGTGGACTGCTACAGATGGTGAGAAAACTGAAGTGATAAGACTATAAGGAACTAGTGACCTATGAAAACCAAAAGAAACGGCTGCAGTCCAGGCCCAATGAATTACATACTTACTCGGTATGTACACCGTTTCAGCCTGTGGAGACTTTACAGGAGGTGGGAAAAGGCTCTGTGTTTCAGAAAACCACAGTCATTCTGGAAGTTTCTAATGTCTTAGGGAACCAGAACTGAGATCTGTGTGTAGGTGTGCTTACAGCTGCAAGAAGTGTCCTACCCTAGAGGAAGCTCAGAAGAACCATCCTAAGCTGGGTAATGGGGTGTGTGGGGGGTGGGATAAAAGTGGAAGGTTTTGTGTTACAATTGAGGAGAATCCTTAAGAGGATCTAGAACTGTGCACTTATGGCTCTTTAAGTAAAACTAAATGTTTCAATTTAAAAGTCAGTTCCTTGGTCACAGCCACCTTTCAAGTGCCTAATAGCCACATGTGGCTAAGTGACGGTCATATCACTGCACAGAAACAGAACATTTCCATCATTGCAGAAGTTTGTGTTGGACAGAATTTTGTCACACAGTTTCTTACTTCAGTGTAGTGTGAGACACTTGTGACGTTTGCGATGGGCACTGCAGTTTTTATTCATTAATAGTGAACACCATTTAGCTAACAGGACTAAGAAATTTGAGTAGGATGACTTTTACATATTGTTGTTTTGTGTGTAAAGAGATGAAAGATTAGTTTTATATATCTAAAGCAGTACACACTTAAATTGCTGATTTATGGACTATGTGGATTAAGCACCTTAAGAGTTGGCCAGACGTTATATTTAAAATATAACTTGAATTGAAACCTGGCTTTCACAGCCCACCACTAGTGTGGCCTTCACTGTACCCATGAACTGGCCAAGTAAGAGTCTCTGTGTTAAAGTCCTTTGATCCATAATCAAGGTGATCCATAAATTGAGGTGAAATCCATATGACATGAAATTAGCCACTTGAAAGTGAACAGTTCAGTGGCATTTGGTACATTCACAGCGTTGTGCAGCTTACTACCTCAAGGTTTCAAACATTCTCATCGCCTCCAAAGGAAATCATACTCTTTAAGCAGTCATTTAACACTCCCCTTTTCCCAACTTTTGGCAACCACCAATCTAATTTCTATGTGTATGAATTTACCTATTCTGAATATTTCATGTGAATGGAATTGCACATGTGATCTTTTGTGTCTGGCTTATTGCACCATTATCAAATTTTAAGTAACAGTTTCAGGATTCACATTATCATTTGTGTTAAACCATAGGCAGTTCTGTTGCCTGACTGTCTTTTGGTAAAATCTTTCACTTGTTTTAAAATTTTAGGTAATATACCTTGTATCATAGCCAGTTCATTAATCTTCCCTTATCATAAAGAATAGCATTAGTTTCTTTTAATATGAGGTATGGCAGTTTTATTAACTAGAACACTTCTGATAAACTTTCCCACCTAATTAGAATTGTTCTTTTTTGAATGAGGGTGTGCTCCTGATGAGGATGTGTCTTCTGCACATGGAGATGCCATTAGAAAATATGAAACTGCTTTCATTCCTTGGGAGGTTTACTAACTTCTCCGTGACTAGCAGATACGAAGCGTGCAGGACTTGGAAATCAAGCCCCAATGGGTATGTTTGCCAGCCATGAATAAGTGACTTTGGACCTGGTAGAATTACAAGCCTATGCGCATTAGTAGCCAGTAAATCTGGATGTGATGTATATTATGAATAATAGGAGTAGAATGAGAAAGGGTTGGAGATGTGTGTGAATGCGTATGTGTGTGAGAGAAGAGACTGGGTACAAATACACTGACAAGTTTCAGTGTAAAGAACATGTTGCTGTATCTGTGATTTTTCTGGTTCATTGTTCAAAAAACATCAGTTCGCAGATGTTGCCACCATTGCTATTTGAATTGTAATGTGATCCGTGGTTTGAATGCAAGGATAAGCTTTTTTTCTTCCATCCTGGGGTAACTATTGTCAGCTTCTGATTTTTGAGGCCCTTTAATGTCATCATTATGTGTATATTAATAACTTAATTGCTGGTTGTACTTGACCCTGTCTCTGCCTCTGTAAGCTGTACAAACTGAAGACAAATGTGTTATAAATGTAGGGTGTTTTGAAAAAACCATGAACAGATTTTTATTATGCTGCATTATGCATCCATAGAGGTAGTCTTATGACTGATGTCACTGTCCTGAGAGGTGCCTTACAGCTTTAGGCATGTATTGTGTATTTGTAAATCTAAGAGTTGGTTGTAGAACCAGGTGTTGAGGTGTGTGTACTGTTGGGTCTTATAAAGCCCATTTGCAGTTTGGGATGTCTTATAAGTGATGGGAGAGCCCCCCATACTGATTGTCTCAGTCTTCCTTGCCTTACAATGCTTGACCATCCGGTGTCGTCACTTACTTGGTTTACTTTTACTAAGGGATTTTCAGCAGGGGCTGTGTGAGGAAGGGCAAGGTGGCATTTGTGTAACTTGGAGAAGCCCATTCTAATATGTCAGAGTGTTAGGTAAGTTACCGCTTACTTCATAGGGTTGGGGGGGTGGTTAAATAAGATAGCAATCAGCACATGAGGGCGCAATAAAAATTTAAGTGGATTTAGGGTAACTTGCCACAACCTCCAACCCTGCCTCCAGCACTGTGTGGATTTGTGAGTGTTTCTATCCCTGTCTGGCCCATAATAGATGTGCAGTATATGTTAGTTGATAGAATTGAACTGACGGCTCATTTCATATTAGGGAGTGGGGAGTCACTTGTTGAATATCTCCTAGGTGCGAGGAGTTCTTTAATTGCAACTAAACAAATGCATACTCTCATTCAGTGCTCTGAGCAATCCTGTCAGGCAGCTGGCATGTCATTTCCATGATTCAGTGAAATAATTGCCTCTCACCACTTGTACGTGGCACTCTAGGCTTTAAAGCCAGGAGTCAGCCCAGTGCTGGCCTCTCAGCACCAGTGTCTGCGCTTCCTCCATCCTGAGGTTGGCATGTCAGCCTGATCACCTAGCACTGCCTGACTTTCTCTGGAAGTTGAGTAATTTTTCCTTACTATACCCGTAAACTTTTCTTTGAAATAGGAAGTGAAAAAAAAATTTTTGTGAAGTACAATTACTGTTCCTTCCAAACCTAGTTCAAATCCTTTTTCCATTTCTGTTAACATCCTGCTAATCGCATAGGTTGGGGTGTCTTAGACCGTTCACTCTACCTTCCTGCACCTGTCCGGTGTTGCCCCTGTTACCTCTGTGCTTAGCCTCTCCTCTCCAGCTGCACTGTGCCGCGGTGGGAGCCATGCTGGTGTTGCTGGCTGAGGTGTCTTTCCATTCTAAGGTCATCCAAATGCCACTGTATGGGATCATCTGCAGCAGTGACACTAAGCATGTCACTTCTCAAGAGATCTTGGTTGCCCTTTACCTTTCAGGGGCAAGAAACTCCTTTCTTCACTACTGCATGTTATAGAAGATTGGGCTGAAAACTTTAGCTTACATGTCTTAACACTCCAGGGAAGTGATTTTAAATATAACTTTGGCAGATTATCAATTCAGTGTTTATTGGTGTGCAGGATTTATGTGACTTCAAATTGTTGTGTCTTTTTTGCATCTTGGAGATTCTTTAAAGCAAGGGCACTTTCATACCAGAGTATCATTAGGCTTTCAGATATAAAAAGAAACTTAAACATTTAAGTGTCAGTATATATTTCTCATACATCTCTTTCAGTGATATCATAAGTAGATTTTCAGTGTGACAATTGTGGAAACTGGATTGTTGCTTGATCTTAGAATTCTAGTAGAGAGACAAAGCCAGTGTCATTTTAATCATCTTTTCTGAGATGTTGCAAGGGCCCATTCACATTTCAGGGACTTTATACGAATGTCCTTTTTACTTTATTGGTATCAAATAGAATTTATTCAAGGATCTTGATGGTAAAACATGTATGATTATAGAATTTTAAAAGGGCTAATCATAGCCTTCTTTGACTACAGCTACCAAGAGAAACTAGAGAAGTAATGTGTCTTTGTTGAGCAAAATCATTAATCTAATCTGTGTATGCTGCCGAATACTCTTTAAATATATGACAGAAAAGTTTTTGAAGCAAAATATGAGAATAAGCATACTTTTATGAGTACATTTCAGTTACTAAAAGGATTCAAAATTGGCTGTGATTGGTAGATTTTTAGAAGTAGGTTAAACAGACTTATAGTTTGAAAACCTGAGTTAGTTGCCATTAGTTAGGTCTGGATTATTGAGATTTTTGTTGGGTTATTGAACTTACGTTTTTACTGTATTTTAGAACATAAATAAAATGGATGTATAGTTTCAATTTTTTAATAGAACCTATTTCTATTAAAAAGCACCTGTGGCACCTTCTCAAGAGGAACAATCGTTATGTGAAGGTAAGCATCTATAATATGACTCTTTGAATATCTAATTGAAAAATACTTCAGTTGTCTGTAGTGTATAAAGCTAGATACTGTTTTATAAATATATATTATATCTCAATTTCTTGTATAGGTTCAAATTCAGCTGTTAGCATGGAACTTTCAGAAACTGTTGGTAAGAAAATTTCTGACCATATTAATACAGTATTATAAAACTCTTTAACTCTCAAGATTTAAGGTGCACATGTAAGTGTTATGATTATTGTAATGCCTACATTTAACACTGACATTGAATCTTTGTGTTTGGATTAACCATGCCATGATAAATTTAGTAGTTGTCAATATAGAAGAATTGGGTGGAAGAATGGTAAAGTCAGTTTAAATAGTTATACTTGTTCCATTTACTTAGTGAAAAATTTCCTTCCTTTTTGTAACTTTGTTAATTTTAAGGGTTTTATATTTCCAAAAAGTTGATACCAAAGATGATACCAAAGCCCTGTAGAGGGAAAAGAAAAGAGCCCCTAAATCCTGTGTTCTGGTTTTAAACTTTCCCTTTTTTCCACTGTCAGGGCATTTTGACACTGGAGTTACTGGGCTGTTACGGATGATACATCTCTTGTTCACATTTTGTTTGTCCTTATGAAATGAAGCTTTATACAAATAGCAATCTCTCGTAGTCTCTGAGTCAGGGCTCTGATGTCAGCAGTGAGGCCAGCTTGAAAGCCACTATCCATTTCTGTTGTGATACTTCCCTATGTGTCACTAGACATTGGAAAGTGGAACTAAATATGCAAAGTTCTATTTGTTGTTTGAAAGCATCTGTGTTTTAAAGTATAGACTCTAACTTTTTTACCAGAATACTGAGTTAAAATACCTTATTTCAGTAGAAAATGGGGAGACAAAAATGTCCCCAGAAGAATCATGGGAGCACAAAGAGGAAACCAATAATGCAGAGCCAGTGGGTGGCTCCTTGGGAGGTGGAAGGCCCCAGAGGAAAGTGCCCAGGAGATGATGGAGGAGGAAGAGGAGGTACCAAAACCCAAATCTGTGGTTGCACTGCCAGGTGCTCCTAAGAATGAACATGTATATGTAGTATTCATTGGTCATGTAGGTAAGTTGCGTTTACAGCAATAAGAAATGACCAAATTTACTGTATACAACAAACAGAACATCTTACTTGGCTACTTGGATATGTTTAGTGAAACTGAATGTAATTGATCTAAAATGTCTTGACTTTTAACTTGATTTTTTAGCTGGCAAAAAATTGCCAGCACTTTATGCTTAAAGGTTGGGCCGAATAACAGTTGTATAATGGAATAGAAGCTGCAAGAAAATAAGCTACAGTATATTTGTATGATGCATAATTGCTCTCTAGACCACTGACGATGGCTCAGCATATTATGACATTTATTAATTAACAGTCTAGAAAATATGCCTATTTTTATGTGTGAACTTCAGTTATTCTGTTAACTTTATAGGATTGACTTTACTAAGTAGTTTGATTTTGCGTAATGTAAGAAATTAATTGGAGTGATTTCTGGATGCTAGTCAGGTTGCTGGTTTAGCACAAAACAAAACCCTATTTTATTTATTCAGGTGTTCTCTGTCTGACTTACTCCCAAAATTGTGAAAGGAAAATACAGGATTATGTGTCCTTTTTTCTTCTCTTTATCTCTGGCTTCCCCTATTCTTTTTTAGTAGCGAGAACCCTTTTGAAATTTGTAAAGGCACTCCTGTATCTGCTAAGAGTGAAAGGCAGGCTAGACCACCTAAATGGAGCTCTCAGTCCTGGTCTGCTCTTGCTGTCCACTGAGGCTCCGCTAGGGTCATTTATATTCTGTTGTTGCTGTGCTCTAAGCTAACGGTCAGGGAGGAATCTGTTCAAAAATTCATTTCTTTATCAGTAAAGCAGTTCTCAGTCATTGTTGAGCTGCAGGGGATCTTAGCAGCTTCATTTTACAAAGAGGAAGGTAATTAGCCAGAGTGTGCCCCAAATTCCTGTCATTTCAGTTGCTGTTGCAAGATGTAATTATATCAGCTAAATGATGCCTTCAGTTGTTTTTAATTGTTTAAATACTACTGTATTTAATTGTTGGTATTTGGGGTTTTTGTCTTTTACACCTGGTTTACACATTGTTGATGATTACTTTTAGATGCTGGCAAGTCAACCATTGGAGGACAAATAATGTAAGTATTTTTTGTTAAATAATAGAGTTAATTTAATGGAATGTTTTGGGCATTGCAAACATTCACACAAAGTAGATAAAACAGGTTACCCCAACTTAGGAAAAATTAATAATAAAATAACATTACTTGTAGGGAAAGCTGATGTGAAGTAATTTTTGCAGTATGATCGTTGTTAGTATTTTCTGATGGAATTTAGGTCTTCTCTAAAATCTTCTGTTATCACCACCAGGAACATAAATGTATTTATGAAAGCTGTCTTTTAGATTTTTTTATAAAAACTAATACAGAATCCTAGATCATAGGAATAGTCAGTCTGCTTTGAATATAATTTTCTTGGGAGTAATGAAAAGCAGTTCTTGAATTAGGTGCATGGGGAAAGTTTTTTTCTAATCCATCAACTCCTTAAATTTATAATCAAAGATAGGTGGTTGTCTAACATGCTAAGATTAGAAGATATGAAAACACCATGGTTGGCCTTTAGTAATGTATTCTAATATTGAAAATCTTTTTAATTAAAAGGCTTTTCTTTTTTTTTAATTGAAGTATCATTGATACACAGTCTTTTAGTTTCAAATATACAACACAGTGGTTCAACAGTTATGCATATTATTCAATTCTCACCCCCTCTAGTGTGATTACTGTTGATCAATGTAGAAAAATGTTACAGAATCATTGACTGTGTTCTGTACTATTCTGACCAAATTATATTGTGATTGTGAATTATTGTGTCTTTTCATCCCCCTCAGCCTCTTTCCCCACCAGTCTGAGTCTACTGCTGTTTTGTTTCTTCTGTTTTGCTTTGTTTTTATATTCCACAAATAAGTGAAATCATACAATATTTGTCTTTGGCTTGTTTCACTGAGCATAATACCTTCTAGATCCATCCATATTGTTGGAAATGACAGTATTTCTTTTCTTTCTATAGCTGAATAACATTCTATTTTGTTTATGTACCACATCTTCTTTATCCTATAGATAAATTTATTTATCCTTTATTCTATTTAAATTTATCTATCTTTCATTCTATTGATGGACACTTAGGTTGCTTCCATACCTTAGTTTTTGCAAATAGTGCAGCAATAAACAGGGGTGCATATGTCTTTCCAAATCAGGGATTTTGTTTTTTTGGGGGGGGGTAAATTACTGGGTCAAATGGTATTTCTATTTTCAGTTTTTTGAGGAACCTCCATACTGTTTTCCACAGCACTTGCACCAATTTACATTCCCACCAAAGTGTAGGAGGGTTCTCCTTTCTCCACATCCTCACCAGCATTTGTTATTTCTTGTCTTCAGATAGTGGCCATCCTGACTGGTGTGAGGTGATACCTTAATGTGGTTTTAATTTGCATTTCCCTTATGATTAGCAATGTGGGTCTTTGCATGCACCTGTTGGTCCTTTGTATTTCTTCTTTGGAGAAGTGTCTGTTCATGTCCTTCCCCCAGTTTTTAAGTGGGTTATTTGTTTTTTGGGTGTTGAGGCATATGAGTTCTTCATATATTTTGGATGTTAACACTTTATCAGATGGGTCATTTACAAATATATTCTCCCCTACTGTAGGATAAGGCCTTTCATTTTTAATCCCTCCTAAATCAGACCCATTTCTTTAAACTATATCATCAGAGGATCCAGAGGGCATATCTTCATGGTTTTGCTTTAAATAATCTTAGTTGGTAATCTTGCCAGTTATTTGTGAAAATTTCCACAACAGACCCTAAAAGAAGCTATTAAAAAGGAATCCTTAACTAAGGTTCTGTGGATGGACATGTTGGGCCCACTTGATGTATTTTAGAAGAATATATTTTTTGTTTATTGTCTGAATTTTGGTTGGCATTTTCCTGGGCTTCTGTGGTTGGTTGGAAGCATGCTCTGTATATGACTACAGAGCACACATAGGGATGAAGGCCAGAACAGGAAGGCTTTGATTTGGATAGATTGAGTCAAGGGAATGGTTAGTTATTACTAAGGAATTATTTAAAAATTATAAACTCTTTTTGACAAATAATTATAAAATATTAAATATTGAAATGAATTAGACCTAATTTCTTGGACAACACTGTTGGAATTAATTTTGTTTAGTATTTACATTTGTTTTTTAAAAAATTTTTTATTCTAAAATAATTTGACTTAGAGAAATGTTGCAAAAACAATATAGACTTCCTGTTTGTCTTTCATTCAGCATACCTTAATGTTAACATTAAATAACTATAGTACAGTCGTCAAAACTAGGAAGTTAACATTGGTGCAATATTATTAACTAAACTCTGTAGATCTCACTTGAATTTCACGTTTCTTCACTAATGTAGTTTTACTGTTCTAGCAGTGCACACTCCTTATTCTCCTCTAACTTGTGACATTTCCTCTGTCTTGTCTTTCATGACCATCATGATTTGAAGAGTGCTATTCACTGACTTTATATGTTCTTGTATTGAGTTTGAGTGATGTTTTTTACAAATAAATTGAGTTTATAGATTTTGGGCAAAATATCAACAAAGATATGTTGTGCTCTTATAAGAGCATGCGGTCAGGGGTACATAATGTCAGTATTCGGCATGTTTTGTTGATTACTGGTTATATTAGTCATGATTAGCTGGTTAAGGTGATGTCTGTCAGGATTCTCCACTGTAAAGTTACTTTTTCATTATAATGAATTAGGGGGAGGTCTGCTTGCAAACGCATCCCCACAGGATCCCTTAGTTCACACCACTGTCTGGCTTACCCGTCAGTAAGGAAGCACATGGGCTGACTGGGTCCTAACACCTGTGCTCCAGGTGAGCTGGAGCTCACCCACCACCACCACCAGCTACAGCAGAGCACAAGCCCCTTAGCTGTCCTTTGGCCACCTGAGGAGAACCTTTGCACTCCCTTGGCCACCACAGCACAACTGAGGGGGACACTGAGTGGACCTCCCTTCTCTTAGGACTAATGTTATGTCTCCTCCCCGTTTGTCTGCCCCCTCTCCTCTACTTCACCACAGCCCCACCCTACAGTCAGCCCCCATCCTCCCACAGGCCCACTTGAACTTGGTCTCCTGCACACAATTGCCCTCATGGAGCCTCCTGCCCAGTGCTGAGCTACCCTCCACAGCAGCTTTCTGGGAAGGTCCTCTCACATGTATCTGTATCTGTCTAGGCCTGAGGTGGGGAGGGTGCCCCCCGAGGTGCTGACCTTGCATGTAATCTCCCCCCCACCTGACCTCTGCGGGTCACATCTTATCGCAACCAGGAACTGCTCTTGCCCCCAGATCTTGGCTGCGAGCACAGTCCCTGCTCCCGTGCCAACTGCACCCACTCCAGATCCTCTGCCTCATCAGGGCCTGTAGTCAGCCCCCTGCCCTTCCTGCTCCCTGTGCCATTTAACCAGGTTGGGTTTACTCTCTATCCACTGATTTTAGGTCCACACCTCAAAATTGAATGTTGCTGGGCAGACACAACTGTGCTGACTGGCCTTGCTTCAAATTCCTACCCACAATTTCCCAGACTTCAGAACTGCCTGGCACAGCTCTCACACCTCGTTTTCTCCCCCTCTCCAAAATGACTACTGAGAGGCCCTCCTTGGTACACATCTCCCCCTAACCCGCGCCATTGAGCTCTTATATTCAGTGAGGAAAACGGAAGCTACCAAGGCTCAAACTCCTTATCACCCATCTTCCACATGGCAAATAAAATCACTTCCTTCTGCCTAAAATTCTATAGTGACTTTCCTTAGTACTTTATGAATGATCTTCTTTTCTGCCTGTCTCTTAATGTCATTTTATCCCACTTTGCTTTTTAAACCTCTAGCCACACCTGGCTCTTCTCTGCTGCTGAAAACATTAGACTCGTGTCTGCCTTTGGGCCTTTGCTCCTGTGCCTACAACACCATCACCCTCAGCCGTTGACCCTGCTCCAACTCTGGAACTACGGCCATAGCCTCAGTTTGCTATTGTCTCAGAAAGGCTGCTGCTGACTACCTAAATAGCTCCTCCAGTCACATGAGTTACATGGCTACCTGCCGCTGTTTAGAGATAACATCTGTGATAACATCAGTCTCTTCACCACAGCCTACAGCTCCGAGAGCAGCGACCATGTCAGCACTTAAAACAGCACCTTGCAGTGCAGACTGAGCCCATTCCAAATCTCACCTGCAAGTACAGACGTGTTCTGATGCGTACTGGCCACGTGGAAGGGGAAAGGGTGTGCTCTGGCCAGCTGCACCCAGGGAGTTCTGACACAAGCCTCCCGAGGAAGGGGCAATGCCTCCAGTACTCCCACTCTGTACTGCCCCAAAGCTGAACGTCCTAGTGATGGAGCTGCTGGAGGTGGGGGGGCCACGTTCATCCCAAAGCCACCACTGTCAGCAGGGCCTGCTGACACCCTAGACGTGAAGGGCAATGGGGTGGTGCTGCCAAACACTGAGCTACTGGTTACACTGCTTGTGGTCTGGGTCGTAGCTCCAAAGCCCGAGGTGGTAGCTGCAAAAAAGAAGGAAACATGGATCATTGTCTAACCCCATACACAAAAGTAAATTCAAAATGGATCAAAGACCTGAATGTAAGCCATGAAACCATAAAACTCTGAGGAAAAAAACATGCAAAAATCTCTTGGACATAAACATGAGTGACTTCTTCGTGAATGTATCTCCCCAGGCAAAGGAAACAAAAGCAAAAATGAACAAATGGGACTATATCAAGATCAAAAGCTTCTTTCTGTATGGCAAAGGACACCATCAATAGAACAAAAAGGCATCCTACAGTATGGGAGAATATATACATAAATGACAGATCTGAGAAAGGGTTGACATCCAAAATATATAAAGAGCTCACACACCTGAGCAAACAAAAAACAAATAATCCAATTAAAAAATGGGCAGAGGAGCTGAACAGTTTTCCAAAGTAATTCAGACGATCAATAGACGTGTGAAAAGATGCTCCACATCGCTTGTCATCAGAGAAATGCAAATTAAAACCACAATGAGATATCACCTCACACCAGTAAGGATCACCACCATCCAAAAGACAGACAACAACAAGAAATGTTGGCAAGGCTGTGGGGAAAGGGGATCCCTCCTACACTGTTGGTGGGAATGTAAATTCAACCATTGTGGAAAGCAATATGGAGGTTCCTCAAAAAGCTGAAAATAGAAATACTATTTGACCCAGGAATACCACTCCTATGAACTTACCCTAAGAATACAACACCCCAGTTTGTAAAAGATAGATGCACCCCTATGTTTATTGCAGCACTACTTACAATAGCCAAGAAATGGAAGGAACCTAAGTGTCCATCAGTATTGATGAATGGATAAAAAAGATATGATACATATACACAACAGAATATTATTCAGCCATAAGAAGAAAACAAATCCTACCATTTGGAACAACATGGATGGACCTAGAGGGTTTATCCTCAGTGAAATAAGCCAGGTGGAGAAAGACAAGTACCAAATGATTTCACTCATCTCTGGAGTATAAGAGCAAAGGAAAAACTGAAGTAACAAAACAGCAGCAGAATCACAGAACCCAAGAATGGACTAATAGTTACAAAGGGACTGAGGAGGATGGGTGGGAAGGGAGGGATGAGAGCAGGGAAAAAGAAAGCGGGCATTATGATTGGCACGTATAATGTGCGGGCACACGGGGAGGGCTAGGCTACACAGAGAAGACAAGTAGTGATTCTACAGCATCTTACTATGCCCGATGGACAGTGACTGTAATGGGGTAAGTGTGCAGTACTTGGTGAAGAAAGGAGCCTAGTAAACATAATGTTCTTCAGGTAATTGTAGATTGATACCAAAAAAAAAAAATTCACAGGCCGTGAATAATCTCCCTTTCTGCATGTCTCTTAATGTCATTTTATCCCACCTTCCTTTCTACCATCTAGGCCCACTGGCTCTTCTCTGCTTATGAAAACATAACCTTGTCTCTGCCTTTTTGGGTCTTTGCTACTGTGCAGGGCACACGGGGAGGGCTAGGCTACACAGAGAAGACAAGTAGTGATTCTACAGCATCTTACTATGCCCGATGGACAGTGACTGTAATGGGGTAAGTGTGCAGTACTTGGTGAAGAAAGGAGCCTAGTAAACATAATGTTCTTCAGGTAATTGTAGATTGATACAAAAAAAAAAAAATTCACAGGCCGTGAATAATCTCCCTTTCTGCATGTCTCTTAATGTCATTTTATCCCACCTTCCTTTCTACCATCTAGGCCCACTGGCTCTTCTCTGCTTATGAAAACATAACCTTGTCTCTGCCTTTTTGGGTCTTTGCTACTGTGCCTGCAACATCCTCACCCCCAGCAGATGTCCCTGCTCCCAACTCGAACTGCAGCCATGGCCTCAGTTTACTATTGTCTCAGAAAGGCCGCCGCTGACTACCTAAATAGCTCGTCCGGTTATGAGTTACATTGCTACCTGATGCTGTTTACAGATAACTTCTGTGATAACATCTAAATCTTCATCACAGCATACAGCTCCGAAAGTGGAGACTGTCAGCACTTAAGACAGCTCCTGGCAGTACAGACCGAGCCCATTTGAAATCTCACCTGCAAACCCAGGTGTGCTCTGATGTGTGCTGGCCACATGGAAAGCAGAGGGTGTGCTCTGGCCAGCTGCACCCAGGGAGTTCGGATTCAAGGCTCCCCAGAAAGTGTTCTTGAGACCAGTTCTCCCACTCTGTCGTGACCCAAAGCAAAATGCCCCAGTGTTGGAGCTGCTGTGGGGGGCAGCCATGCTTGTCCCAAAGCCCCCACTGCCAGTGGGACCTACTGACACCCAGGACATGAAGGGCACTGAGATGGTGCTGCCAAACCCTGATGTACTGGTCCTGGAGATGGTGGTCTGGGTCACAGCTCCAAAGCCCGAGGTGATGGCTCCAAAAAAGGAGGAAACCAGGATCATTGTCTAACCCCATACACAGAAGTAAATTCAAAATTGTTCAAATCCCTGAATTTAAGCCATGAAACCATAAAACTCTTAGAGAAAGACAGGTGAAAATATCTTGGACATAAACATGAACAACTTCATATCTCTCCAGGGAAAGGAAAGAAAAGCAAAAATGAACAAATGGGACTATATGAAGCTTAAAAGCTTCTGTACAGTAAAGGGCCCCATCAACAGAACAAAAGGGCATAATACAGTATAGGAGAATATATTCATAAATGACAGATCCGATAAAGGGTTGGCATTCAAAATATATAAACAGCTCACACACCTCAACAAAGAGCAATTATTCCAATAAAAAAATGGGCAGGGGAGCTGAACAGGCAGTTCTTGAAAGAAGAAATTCAGATGGCCAATAGACACATGAAAAGATGCACCACATCGCTTGTCATCAGAGAAATGCAAATTAAAACCACAATGAGATATCACCTCACACCAGTAAGGATCGCCACCATCCAAAAGAAAAACCACAACAAATGTTGGCAAGGTTGTGGAGAGAGGGGAACCCTCCTACACTGTTGGTGGGAATGTAAATTCGTTCAACCATTGTGGGAAGCAATATGGAGGTTCCTCAAAATAGAAATACCATTTGACCAGGAATACCGTTCTTACGAATTTACCCTAAGAATACAGCAGCCCATTTTGAAATAGATGTACCCCTATGTTTATCCCAGCACTATTCAGAACAGCCAAGAAATGGAAACAACCTATATGTCCATCAGTAGATGAATGTATGCACAATGGAATATAATTCAGCCATAAGAAGAACACAAATCTTACCATTTGCAACAACATGCTTGGAGCTAGAGGGTATTACGCTCAGTGAAATAAGCGAGGCGGAGAAAGACAAGTACCAAATGATTTCACTCATCTCTGGAGTATAAGAGCAAAGGAAAAACTGAAGGAAATAAACAGGAGCAGAATCACAGAACCCAAGAATGGACTAACAGTTACCAAAGAGAAAGGGACTGAGGAGGATGGGTGGGAAGGGAGGGAGAAGGGCAGGGAAAAACAAAGGGGGCACTATGATTACCATGTATAATGTGGTGGAGCACGGGGAGTGCTGGGCTACACAGAGAAGTATTGATTGTACAGCATGTTACTATGCTGACGGACAGTGACTTTAATGGGGTTTGTGCAGGGTACTTGGTGAAGAGGTGAGCCAAATAAACATAATGTTCTTAAGGTAATTGTATATAGATACCAAAAAAGAAAACATTTTAAAAGGCCGTGAATAATCTTCCTTTCTGCCGGTCTCTTAATGTCATTTTATCCCACTTTCCTTTATAACCTCTAGCCACACCTGGCTCTTCTCTGCTCATGAAAACATAAGCTCATCTCTGCCTTCGGGCCTTTATTCCTGTGCCTGCAAGGTCCTGACCCCGAGTGGCTATCCCTGCTCCCAACTCTGGAACTGGGGCCATGGCCTCAGTTTGCTGTTGTCTCAAAAAGGCTGCCACTGACTACCTAAATAGCTCCTCCAATTATGAGTTGCACTGCTACCTGATGCTGTTTACAGATAACATCTGTCTCTTCACCACAGCGTAAAGCCCCAAGTGTGTAGACTATGTTCGCACTTAAAATAGCACCTGGCTCTGTAGACCGACCCCGTTCCAAATCTCACCTGCAAGCACAGACGTGTTCTGAGGTGTGCTGGCCACGTAGAAGGCAAACAGTGTGCTCTGGCCAGCTGCACCAAGGGAGCTCTGACTCAGGCATCCCCAGAAATAGATACCAAAAAAGAAAACATTTTAAAAGGCCGTGAATAATCTTCCTTTCTGCCGGTCTCTTAATGTCATTTTATCCCACTTTCCTTTATAACCTCTAGCCACACCTGGCTCTTCTCTGCTCATGAAAACATAGCTCATCTCTGCCTTCGGGCCTTTATTCCTGTGCCTGCAAGGTCCTGACCCCGAGTGGCTATCCCTGCTCCCAACTCTGGAACTGGGGCCGTGCCACCAGTTCTCCCACTCTGTCCTGGCACAAAGTCGAATGCCCCAGTGGTGGAGCTACTGTGGGGGGCTGACACACTCATCCCAAAGTCCCCACTGCTAGCGGGGCCTGCTGACACCCTGGATGTGAAGTGTGATGAGTTTGTGCTGCCACCGCTGTTGGTGGTCTGGGTCATAGCTTTAAAGTCTGAGGTGGTGGCTGCAAAAGAGGAGGAAATGAGGATCAGTGTCTAACCCTATACACAAACATATTCTAAATGGATCAAAGATCTGAATGTATGCCATGAAACTATAAAAATCTTAGAAAAAACATAAACAAAAATCTCTTCGACATAAACATGAGTGACTTCTTCATGAACATATCTCCCCCAGCAAGGGAAACAAAAGCAAAAATGAACAAATAGGACTATATCAAGCTGAAAAGCTTCTGTACAGGGAAGGACACCATCAATAGAACAAAAAGGCATCCTACAGTATGGGAGAATATATTCATAAATGACAGATCTAATAAAGGGTTGACATCAACAATGTATAAGGAGCTCACACACCGCAACAAACAAAAAGCAAATCCAATTAAAAAATGGGCAGAGCAGCTGAACAGTTCTCCAAAGAAGAAATTCAGATAGCCAACAGACACATGAAAAGATGCTCCACAATGCTAGTCATCAGAGAAATGCAAATTAAAATCACAATGAGATATCACCTCACACCAGTAAGGATTGCCACCATCGAAAAAACAAACAATAACAAATGCTGGCGAGGATGCAGAGAAAGGGGAACCTTCCTCCCCTGCTGGTGGGAAGGTAATTTAGTTCAATCACTGTGGAAAGCAGTATGGAGGTTCCTCAAAAAATTCAACATAGAAATACCATTTGACCCAGGAATACCACCTCTAGGAATTTACCCTAAGAATGCAGCAGCCCAATTTTAAAAAGACAGATGCACCCTTATGTTTATCGCAGCACTATTTACAATAGCCAAGAAATGGAAGGAACCTAAGTGTCCATCAGTAGATGAATGGATAAAGAAGATGTGATACATATACACAATGGAATATTAATCAGCCATAAGAAGAAAACAAATCCTACCATTTGCAACAACATGGATAGAGCTAGAGGGTATTATGGTCAGTGAAATAAGCCAGGTGGAGAAAGACAAGTACCAAATGATTTCACTCATCTCTGGAGTATAGGAACAAAGGAAAAACAGAAGGAACAAAACAGCAGCAGAATCACAGAACCCAAGAAAGGACAACAGTTACCAAATAGAAAGGGACTGGGGAAGATAGGTGGAAAGGGAGGAGGAAGGGGGTGGAAGGAGAAAGGGGGCCTTATGATTAACATGTAGAATGTTGGGGGGGGGCATGGGGAGGGCTGTGCAACACATAGTAAACAAGTAGTGATTTTGCAGCATCTTACTATGCTGATGAACAGTGACTAATGGGGTACATGGGGGGGACTTGGTGAAGGGGGGAGTCTAGTAAGCATAATATTCTTCAAATTGTAGATTAATGATACAACAAAATAAAAAAAATTGGAGGAAACACCTGTGGTAATGGACATGGTGCCAAAAAGAGAGGCTGCGGGTTTCAACCCACGAAAACCTGACCACAGTGCTGCCAAAGGCTGGCTGGGGTGGGGCCAGGGCTGCTGAGCTTCTAAAAGGAAAGGAGCTGCCGAAGCTGGGGGCCAGTGCTGGCTGGCAGTCCACATCTGCTGTCTGTCAGTGGCTCCGAACGAGTGCTGTGGGGTGACTCCAATATAGGATGGGATGGGGGGCCTGGTGCCAGAACTAAAGGGAATGTTGAAGGCTGGGGTGGTAGTGCTGCTAAATGTCAGTGCAGGCTGGCTCCGGGTGATGGGGGCGGAGGTCGTGAGGGTGCCACTGAAGCCATCGAAACTGGCGGTGCTGCTGCCAGCAGCTGTCTGGATGGCGCTGGGCAGGGACTGGCTGAAGGTGACGACTGTTGTTGGAGCAGGCGTGGCCAGCGCCTGCCAAACTGGAGTATGGAGCTCATGGCTGGGCAGAGCTGGCAGCAGAGGCAAGGGGGAACCCAAAGAGGACAGGCTGGGCAGTGGAAGCAGTGGGGCTGGTCATGCTGCTCACAGTGCTGGTCACACTGCTCACACCAGAGCCAAAGACAGGCTTCCGGGCGGAGTCTGTGGCTGTGCCGGTGGTGGTCCCCCAAGCCACTGCTGAGGGGACACTGACCCTGGCCGGACCAGGGAACAGAGGGGTATTCATGCTGGTGCCTGAAGTTGTTGTCTGACTGAAGGAGGAAGGAGTTGACAAGGGCACAGATGTAGGTAGCCCTGTGCTGCTAAAAACAGGACTGAAAGTGAGGGGCAGTCTGCTGGTAGTCGGGGTGTGGGCAGAGCTGGAAGATGCCTCCGTTGTGACTTGGGAATGGCTGGATGGCACAGGACCCTCCTTCCCACTTTTAGATGGAGCCACAAAGATGGGCTTGAAGATGGGATGTGCTGAAGACACAGCAGGAGCTGCCGAGGCAGAAGGGTTAGCAGGTGGGCTGCTCAGCGTTCCAAAGAGAACACTGGGCTTCAGGGTGGGGGCTGGGGCAGGCGGGGCCTGGGGTTTGGCAGATGTCTCAGCCTGAGAGGCTGGAGGTGAGTTGGTGGTATCACTGGCTGGTACTGCGGGAGAGGCAGGGGTCAGCCCCGAGAAAGGGGCTGTGTATCTGGAGTCTGGGGAGGGGCCAGGGAGGGGCCCTGGCTGTGAAGAGCCAAGAGAGCCCAGAAGGCCAGGTGTCTGCAGGGGCGAACGGGCCATGGGCATGGCTGTTAGGCAGGGAAATACATATGAGTGGGGTGGAAAGAGTACAGGGCCAGGAAAGCCCCCTAGAAAGGACTCGGTTAACCAGTTAAATCTAGAAATCCAGAAAAGATTCAGTGTTAGTGAGTTAATCAGTTAAAGCTCAAAAGGTCAAGAGAAACTTGGCCTTGAAGGTTTGAATATTCCCCAGATAAAAGTATCTGAGCACAGCCCATGTCTTCATTGTGTCCATTAGATCATTGTATGACTCACTCTAGCCTGCTAAAAGGCCCACCTATAAACAGCAAAGTAAAGACAGGGAGATCCCACCTTAAAGCCAAAATTGTATTTAAAAAAGAACAAGGAAGTTTCAGAAGAAAGATTCTTAACATACTCTTTAGCAAACAACTAACTCTGCCCACCTTGGAGGAAAGGCAGACAGTCTGGATAAGCTAATTTTGCAGAATTACCTAGAGAACGGATGAGTAACTTAATGTCTCATCAAAGATACTTGAGACCACTTACAAGCCCACACCCTAGCCCTCTGTCACATTCCTGAAAAATCCTTAAAACAGGGAGCCCCCAACCTTTCACTGTGCTCCTATGTGAGGTCACCCGCACTTTCTAAGTGCATAACCTTTTAACTTTAAACTCCCTCTTTTCAACCTTTCAGGGTGCTGCACTCCTCTCTCTGAGGTCACCTGCACTTCCTAAGTGCATAACTTCAACTCCCCAACCTTTCAGGGCACTCCTCTCTCTGAAGTCACCCACACTTTCTAAGTGTGTGACCTTTTAATCTTAAACTCTTTCTCTCCAATCTTTCAGAGCACTCCTCCCTCTCTGAGGTCACCTGCACTTCTTTCTGGCTAAGTAACTTTAAATAAAACTTTTATTCTGCTTCACTACTGTGTCTCTGCCCTTCAATTCTTTGTCACGGCGGGGACAAGAACAGAGGAAAATACACAATGCCTCCCACCCAACATTGCCACTGCAGCAGATTCTAGGAAGAAGAACAGAAAATGTCAACTATGGTATCTCAAACGTGATGGTATTTGGTGCTCTAGAAGCCTTGCTGGGCCAGGGATTCGGGAGTCAACAAATATGACTCTCGGAACCGTCTCTGGAGTGTGAAATTAACCCATATTCCTTACCAGTTTTATCCTCGAAGATCCTCTTCAGCCACTGTGACTGAGCTTGCTTCTCCTGGTAATACTCTTTGACCGTGATCGAGCAGCCGATCCAGGGAGCTGGAGGCTACCAAGAGAAAAAGGAGAAGCCAAGCCAGTCAGAAAGAAGTGAAAGAAACTTGTACTGACCCTTCCATTCCTGAGACGCAGTGGAGCCAGACTGGCGTGGGCAGGGGTGGGTGGACAGATCATACCAAGATCAGCAGGATCCCTCGCCTGGAGGGCACCAGGTGAAACTTGCGTCTGCATGGCTGGGAGCTGCTGGGTGTCGCTGGAGAATCCCAGGAGTTCTGCTCCCTACATGTGGTTGTGTCTGCAAATAAAGTATCAGACTTACTTTCTTCCTGCTCTCTTCCAGAATTGGAGAGGTTTGTCTATCCAGCCTAGTTTTTAATACTGAACTTTCACTAGGTGTCTCTGAGATTCTATCTTCTATGGTTTGGGCACTTGGATGGTGTTGGCAAGATCATTTCTAACAGTCATGATGACGTGAAGTGTTCATTGCTCCAAATGTATGCACATGGTTGCTTACTGGACAGAAATTGCCTGGTCTGCTCAGATTCCCCCACCTAGGCTTTCCTTACCCCAAATCCCCCAGGTGGCCTGGGTTATGCTTTATGAGTCTGGGCAACCTTTCTCCCTTACCAGACCATAAACCCCGAAGGACAGGAACATGGCTCTCTACCAAGCCCCACACAAATCAAGGCTCAGTACATGTTTCCAGTGGGTTGTGGTCCATGCGCCCTCCATACACTACCGCCAACACATGCCACGCATTCATCAACTTACCCTGTTCTCCCTGGGACTCCTTGTTTACTGGCGGAGCAGAAGAGCCAGATCCCTGAGGACCGTCCTCTTCTCTGTAGGTGGAAGAGGCACAATTAAGTTTAGAAAAGCACTGGATAACTTCTTACACCCTCCTAACTACCAACTGACCAAAGTCTAGAACAACCATGACTAAGATCTCAGTGTGTCAAGACAACAAAAAGAAGCAAAGAAAATTCCTAAAGAAATGAAGGGAGGCAGTTCACAGAAGCCATAGAGACACCTTTGTCTTAAAACAAGCAGAAAACAATCTTCAGAACCTTACATACAACCTGCCAAGTTTCTGAGAGTCCTAGTCACACCTCTATCTCTAAGAAAGCAGCATTCTAGTCAGGCACCTAGGGGGTCAGCTGGGGTCTAGAATGTGAAGCCTGCTGCCCACCCCCATCAGTCACTGTTCACTCTGTCCCCTTCAAGCCCTTCCATTTACACCCCAGCCCCTCACGCTGCAGCATGAGGGCAAGCAGAGGCTGGTGTGGTCACACTGTGTGACGACTGCAAGAGACGAGAGCGATTCACGGTGGCACCGTCTCTGCCCTTTAGATGTGAACTATTTTGATTCTCCAAGTCAGAGTCTCACAAAGCCTAAGAGCCAAGTAAATTTCCCTCCTTTCCCACCCTTTCATTAATCCACACAGCAAATCACCGATTACCTCATTTTCTTTTCTGGACTCCCTGGTGTCTGTTGAGCGGGATGAGGCTGGGCTAGAGAAGGGTGAGGCACTGGGACGCCTCTTCCAGAGCTAAAAGCCAAACAAGTCATGTGACTGACCTTGGGAATAACATAGGATCTGACCTTCAACATAATTCTGTGGCTCTAATCCATCACTGTACATAAAGTCTCCTTTTCAAGTGATTAAGAAACATTTCTTTCTGAAGTGGGGCTTCTGAAATGTGAGTCAATTGCCAGTATTTGAAAGGGTTGTCATTGCCCAAAGTTGGAAAAGTTGCATTAGAAAGAGCAGCTACACTATACTGAGGATCATGAAATATTTATAAAATATCATCAGTTCATAAAGATAACACAGCAAGAATCATACTGGTCACCTTTGGAGTTAACTACGGCATCAGTGCCTGCTTATTATCCTGCCACTCCTATAGATAGGGTTTGTTCTTCTATCTAGAATTACACAGACCTTCAGTTAACAAATGCAGAGGGAAGGACAGAATTAGAACATCACCATTTTGCCACAATGGACATAGACAAAGGCAAAAAATCGCCACTAAAATCATCAGGTGAAAAGCTCATAGGAACAATAAAGTGAAGGATCAGACTGACACCTGAGCCCAGTGGGAGGCAACCACACAGCACGTGCTCCCGATGTGATGCGATCAGAAGTGCACAGCAGCACCTCTGCCCAAATCACTGAACTTGAAACTCATCAAGCCTCAGGAGCCAACTGCCCATTTACAGGGAAAATAGGGATAGAGTAATTGTCAAAATGGCACCATGACGAAAACAAAATCCAGAATGTAGTAAATTCTATAGAACATAATGACTTCTAAAAAGTTAAGAAAAAGCGTAGTAGTAGTACCATTGATTGAGTCTAAGAGAGGCCTGACGTCCCCGCTGCGGGGGAGGGCGCGCGCGGCCGCCGCCCCAGCCCATGAGCTCCGCACCTGCGGCTTCGGTGGCAGCAGCCGCGGGGACAGCCCGTGGGGGAAGCTGACTGCTGGAGGCCGCCAGGGGGCGCCGGCCGCGTGGGCCCGGAGCGCCCGGAGAGGCGGTGTTGTGAGGCCGGCGACCTGCCACCTGTGGCTCCTTGGACGGGCGGAGGCGCTGGCAACCGGGGCCCGGCAGCCGGGATAGCCGGCATCCTGGCGGGGCCCGCGCACCCCGGGGCTGTGTCTGGCGCGCCCCAGGACCGGGAGGGGTTCTGCCACCGCGGGGAGCTCGCCGGTCCGGTTGGCCTGAGCAGCGTGCCCGCGGAGGCAGAGGCCCCGGTGCACGCGCACCTCCTGCGGTCGACCCCGCAGCTGCCCGTGACGCGGGGGTGGCTTCCCGCGCGGCTGTGTGGCTTGCCCTGGGAACGCGGGCCCCGCCCCCGGGGGACCCACGGGCGGCGGAGGGTGTGTCCCTCGCCCCGCCCACCCCCGGCGTCCTGGCGCCCCGCCCCTGGCGCGGAGCTCCGAGCATCATCGCTCCGCCCAGGCCTGTTAAAAAGTTGATTATTTTTACCCTGTCTGCTTCTTAGGCCATCAGATACAACCTTGTATCTGAAGCTCTAAGTGTGAATTAAGTCCCCTGAAATGTAAATTTCAGTACTTATTTTGGTGGCACTTCTTGAACGCTTACTATGGACAGTGTAGACGCATGAACACTTTACATGTACTGCCTCACAACTATCTTATGAAGTAGGTCAAAATCATTATTTCCATAAGTGTACAACCTTACCTTCAGATTTTTTTGTTACATATATTAATTAAATACCTTTAATGCTTTAATACTTTAAAAAAAGGGTCTAAGAGACATGTGAACCAAACACAATGAGTTGATTTTTGGTCCCTGATTCAAAGTAACTGTAATAAGAGAGGGAGGGTAAGAAGGGCAAATTGGAGCGATGATAACTAACATTAAGTCATTATAATTCAGAGGAATAGAGGCATTGTGGTTATTAATGTTCAAAAAGTTTTAAAAGTACACTGAAGTACCAATAGGGGAAACAACGTGTTTGTACTTAAAAACACAAGAGGAAAACCAATTTGGGGTGGGGGTGTTGATGGATCAGGACTGACCAAACACTGTTAACTGCTGGAGCCACATGGAGGTTCATTATGATATTTTTCCTTCCTTTGTGTATGTATGACATTTGATATAAAATTGTAAGAAGGGGCAATGACTATGTGTGTCAGGTCTGTTGGGATCACTGATTGAGGAAATGTGTGTACAGTGCTCAGCAGAGGGCCTAGTGCAGAATAGATCCAGGTACAGCTTCGTACTCTTATGCTCCACATTGTCATAACTGCTTAGCCAGGGCCTTCATCTCTTCTATTTGTCATTTATCATTAATGTGTCATTTATATTACTCTAAGAGCCTTCTGTATGGATGAAAACTTATGTCAAATTCTTTCTCCTCTCAAAAACCTCCTTCATGCATGTGTTACTTTTTTTCCAGCTCCTATATATTGGGTGCCTGCTTACTGACAAGCACTGTAATGGGTGCTTTTCAAACATTACCTTCAATCTTTATAACAATCCTTTAGAGATGAGAAAAAGAGAGTTTAAGTCATTTACCTGCCCAAGAGTCTATAGCTACTAAGTGCCAAAGCCAAGATTTGAACCCAAGTCATTCTGGTAGCAAAACTTGATCTGTTCTCCAGTCTACACTACATCCTTTCTAAAAATAATTATAACCACTTATTTTTAAAACTTTCATTAAATTCCCAGTGCCTAGAGGATGAATTTATGACCCAATGCAATTCAGACTCAATCTACCTTTTTAATCAAATTAGTACCATTTTTTGAATTATTCATCCTCTGTCTATTTATCTATAATAATGGCTCTGTCTTGTATCAGGTTTCCACATAGGCATTCTGGGCTTTCTAGTTTGTTCCACTGGTCCATAGCGATCATTCAAGGGTTGCTAACTGCTGTTAGCTTGGAGGTGATCTCAGCATCTGACAGAAGGTGGCTAGTAAACACTGCATAATCAACTAATAAATGCAAAGAACCCAATTCTGCCACACCACCAGGTGCATGTACCTGAGAGATGCCTCCAGAGTAGAAGTGTAGGAACTGGTAATGGCATTGTGGCTGGACATATGGGTGCCACATGCACACGTGCCCTTCGAGCAGCTCACAGCAGAGGTGCAGGTTCTCTTACGCAGCTCGCCATCTGAGCTCTGGGAACTGAGGCCTCTCTTCAGAGGCCCAGGCCTAACAGGGAAATAAAAGGGGAAAACACAGATGTGCTACTGAAAGACACCAACATTGTTTTAAGGCTTCATCCACGGTCACAAAATCATTCTAACGCAATGGAAAAGGATAATGTTGTTAATTTTACTGTTAATTCAGCTAAACATGTCTCACAAAGTCAGAAAGGGAAAGCTCAGTATTTAAAAATTTAAAAGTATGATTCTACCTATATATACTCTAGGAAACGCATACAAATCTATAGTGACAGAATGGGGACCAATGGATGCTTGGCAACAGGGACAGGATGAGAGGGAGATTTTAAGGCTTCACCAAGGGGCATGGGCAAGGGTCATGTTCATTATCTTGACTGTGGTGATGGTTTTGTGGGTGTGAAATTTAGACAAAATAGTTATTGTGGCAAGTTACTCAAAATGTTCCTCTGTGATTTCAAAGAGGAAAATTTATAGGACAATAATTCTGATAAAGATACATGTCAAAATTGATCAAATGGTACACTTCAAAGAGGCACAGTTTATTTATGTAAATTATACCTCAATAAAGGTGTTAAAAAAAAGTTTAGGAGGAACCAACCACTTTTTCTAAGATTCAAACTGAAACAGAAATTCCCTAAACATCTGTCCTGTGAAATAGTCATCCAACCTTTGTGACAGCACAGACAGCTCACTGTCTCCTGGCTGATGAATGTGAACCACAGAGCAGTTTATCCCTGCACTAGATGCAAACATACTTCCTCTTTCACTTACTTCACCTATGGATCCCATCTGGAGCCAAGCCAATTGTCCTCCTTTCATGTGATAGTCCTTCAGGTTTTTGCAGGCCATTATCCTTCCCTCCCTCATTTCCTTACACCCCTCAGGTTTTCCTCCTCTGGGCTAGTGCTTATGTACCTATAGAACCCCCTCACCCACCACCACCCCAGGACATCTTGAGTTGCTTCACTCTCTCGCAGTGAATTTCGGTCTGTGTCTGCGTCCTCTTGCAGGGCAGCACAGCCAACCAGGAGCCCTCCGCGGACAGCAGGACGAAGGCATTAGGACCACCTCTGACCAGCCTCCTCCTGGTCTTTGTTCTGCTATCAGCCCAGAGTAGGAGCATGTTAAGCTTTTCTGGCGGCCATATCATAGCGCTGACTCAATTTAAAAATGTAACTTACCCCAAGCCTTTTCACACACATTTTCAGCCTCTTTGCCTCCCAGCCAATTCTTCCTCAAATATAATTAAGCTAAAAGGTAGAAATCTCACATTTTTCTTAAATTTTGTACTGCTGCATTCTATCCATTGCACAAACCTTGTGATGCTTTTGTTACACACTTGGTTATTCAGTGTATCTACAAACCCTCTTAGCCTTAGCATATTTTATGCATATTAATGAAACATAGTAAAAGGAATTAGACAAAATAGTTATTGTGGCAAGTTACTCAAAATGTGAGGTAATGCAAATAATGAGTATTGTGGCTGAGTTGTTCCCCATCCCACCCCAAATTCAGATATTCAAGTCCTAACCCGAGACACCATAGCTCAGATTGTGACTGTATTTGGAGGTGGGGTCATTAAAAAGGTGGTTCAGTTAAAATGAGGGCACTAGGGTAGGCCTAATCCAACCTGAATGGTGTCCATATAAGAAGAGATGCCATGTAAGGGATGGGCATGCCCAGAGGAAAGGCCCTATGAGGAGGCAGTGAGAAGGCAGCCATCTGCAAGCCAAGGAGAGAGGCCTAAGGAGACCCAAACCTGGGACCCCTTAGGCTTGGGCTTGCAGCCTACAGAACTGTGAGAAACAAGTGTCTGCTGTCTAGGCCCCCCGAGTCTATGGTCTTTGATTATGGCAGCCCTAGAACACTAATGCAGTGAGTTACCTCAACAGCTATGGATGCAGGATGAGCTGGGAAGGGAAAAAGCAGGTGCTGCCTGTTCCCCATGCAGCACTTGTCCAGGTGGGTTGTATAACTGATTGAACAGTGTCCCCCAGAATTCTTGTCCACCTGGAAATGGGGCCTTGCTGATGTATAAGTGGATGATCTCAAGCTAAAAATCATCCTGTATTTAGAGCAGGCCATAAATTTAATGACTGGTGTCTTTCTAAGAGAAAGAGGAGGACAATTTGGACAGACACACAGAGAAGAGGTCACATCAAGATAGAGGCAGAGATTGGAGGGATGCAGCCACAAGCTGAAGAATGTCTGGGGCCACCAGAAGCTGGAAGAGGCAGGGAAGATTTCTCCCCTAGAGCCTTCAGAGGGAGTACAGCCCTGGCAGCCCCTTGATTAAAGACTGAAGACCTCCAGAAAAATGAGAGAGTAAGTTCCTGTTGTTTTAAGCAACTCCATCTGTGCTAATTTGTTATAGCAGACACAGGAAACTAATACAGGGGAAAATGTGCCTCTCAATAGCCCATAGGACCATGAGGGAGGAAAGATAGGGACTTTGCCCAGCTTCCTCCTATGTCCTGTTTCCCCCTAGGAGATCACTGCCCTGAATCCATTTGCCTCCTGCTGCCTCTTTGGCAACAATGTGTGAAACGTGTTCGTGTTTGAGATGTGTGTGTAATTTTGCACAGAGAAGCAAAGATCACAGTTTGATAACACATCCTATGGGGAATGAAAGATGTGCAAACTCTACGGGGAGAATCTAGCAATATCATAGGTATCTTTCCCTACAGCAATATCTATTGCTGAATTGACACATCACAACCACCTCTAGCAATTTATTCAATACACATAAAACAAAAGGTGAACTTAGCTTTTTCACTGCAGCACTGTCTGTGTGAGCAAAAGGCTGGAAACAACCTAAATGTCCCTCAGTAGGGGACCAGTTAAATAAACAGGGATGAGATAAATTCAGCAGAAATATGAACAGTACCAGAGGTGACCAGGAGAACGTTAGCACCTTAGCTCATTCCCAACCCTAACCTAACCTGAAGCTACAGGGAAAGGACCTGGGGCTCAAGTCAGTCTTTTCTAAATTTGAATGGGCAGAGAGAGACCCCAAATAGTATTATGAGACATGTGAACACTGAAGTCTATTTTTATGTTCTAACATGGAAAGATGTCCATAATACACTATTAAGTGGGGAAAAAAGTCCCTGGATAGGCATGATCTCATTTCCAACTAAAATTTAAATACCATGTATATATGTTAGTATATGCATAGAAAAAAAAAACTGGAAGAGAAGAATACACACCAAGCCATTAAAGCAGTTTATCATGCCTACCACTTGCTTGGTGCTGAGAACTTTCAGATAAGAAAATTGTCTTCCAAGGAGGAAGACAACTTTGCTGTTTTGCCAAGTGTCTGGTATATAATACATACTCATGTATGGAAAGGAAGGGAAAGAGGGAGGGAGGGATGCTCAGCCTAGCCTGGATACAGATGTGTGAGCAGATGACTTCTGAGAAGGGACAGTGCAGAGAACTCTGGGAGAAAAGACCGCAGAGCTGGAGGGGTTTTGCATAAACTGTCTCTCCTACTTAAATCACCAGTCCATT